CGAACCGCCGTTGTGTCGCCCCTTCGGGCCGCAGTGTCGCGGCCCGCGGTCCCCGCCATCGCCCCGACCCGACTGCCGCCGCTGCGTTGCCCCTTCGGGCCATAGCGCCACGGCCCGCGGTCCGCTTCGCCGTCACAGCGCGTCGACCTCCCATGGTATGCGCCGCGCCGTCTTCCTTGGCGCAGGAACGCCACCGTCCGTGCCGGTCTTAGTCTCGCTACCAGGGTTCTTCGCCTACTTCGAGCACCGCCGCCGCACTCCTAACCTCGTCGCCGCCGCCGTCAGGCCGCCGCCGCCGCCGCCACCCGTCCACCCCCTTCGTCTTCGTCCAAGCACCAACCCGTCGCTAGCGTCGCCGTCATCTACCCCGACCACTTCGTCTACTCCGACCACCGTTGGTGACATCGGCCCCTCACCGATGGACGCCGCAATCGTTGTCGAGTTCTTCTCTGCTGGCCCCTCCGACTTCTCCGATATGGCGTACAGCTCGTGCAGGTCCCTCGTCTACGCATGCCCGGTGCTGGCAACATCGATGCGTGCCTTCATCCACGACGTGTCCCCGGGCCTGGCAAGCCTGGTCGGTGCTTCGTTAACTTCGTCTTCGTTCATCTACGCATGCCCGGTGCTGGCAATACCGGTGCGTGCCTTCGTCCACGATGTGTCCCCGGGCTTGGCAAACCCGCCACGACGCGTCATCAACAATATTTTCTTCCCGGCGCACCCCTACTTCGACACCACTGCGCCCATGCTAACTCGGCGCCCTCTTGCGTCCGCGGCTCCACGGCGACTTTCTCGACACCGGCCACCCCGACTCGACATCGACCGCGGCATTCTTCGCACGGCTACCTCGACCACGACTCCACCACCCACGCTCTCGTCTACCTCGACAACGACACAAAGGGCTACCGCCTTGCTTAAGCAACCTCGTCGGTTTCCACTCCAGCCACGACTCTGCGGTGCATTGACCATTACGAATGTGGGGGGTGTCCGTCGGCTTGCCTTCGGATTCTTCTTCAGTCTCACCGTCTGCGTCGCTACCGTTGTGACTGCGGGGGATGTTGAGTAACGTGATTGTACTAGGAAACATAGGATAAAATAAGAATATTCTGGCTTGTCTTGTACTCCAAGTAGATCATGTACTCCTATATATATATGCCCACGAGGCTCAAGCAATACAACGAACTATTCCACCAAACCTCTCTCTCCTTTCTAACAATGGCATTTCCTTTTCCAATAAATACAGTTGGGTCTTTCTTAATGTTGTACTGCATTTAGTTGCCGCTCTGAGGTGAGTGTGCTCAACTGCTCCCTTCAGCATCCCACGAGCCGCATCAGCAATCTGGCCAAACACGCCACCGATCTGATGGATAAACATGGAACAGCGACAACATCCAGTTAAGAAAAGACACGCTCATTTGGAAAACTAATGCCACAAGAATGGTAGGAAAAATGATGAGGCTGCATAGTTGGGCCGTGTTCCTCATTAGCTTTATCTTGAGCCTAGGGCTCGATGACTATTTTAATTTGATGTGTAAGAGTTAAGTTTGTGTGGATACTACCTGGTGGCTTTATTAATTTAAAGCCGGACGTCTCTGGCATCTATGTTCCAAAAAACCGTACCGAGAAGCAACGAGCGGGGCCGATGGTGAGCATCAAGCAGTTCAGCACCTGCCCCTCTTCCCCGGGTTAAGTGGGCTCTGAAGGAATCTCGAAAACAACTGGTGGAAGAGATCGGCGTCCGTAGTGGCTTCTGCTAGATCGAGAACTGCAGCCGGCTGGGGAACGGGGAGCTTGGCGGTGGGGGCGCCGAGATTGAAGAGCCCACGGTTTAACAGAGGAATCGAGGCCCCCGAGTGGGGCGGAGGAAGAAATGCTTAACTTCTGCGGAGGAGAAGAGGGCGATCCGTCGCTAGCTCAATAGCTTCTGATCTCGCCGCCGGAGGACAGACGATGAGGCGATGACCCCGCCGGTCGACTGAGAAGACACCGTCGAGTGTTTTCGAACGGCTCCCTTCACCTCTACGTATTATTTTCTTGAAAAGGACGTCTGGTGATTTGTTGGCACGAGCGCACTCTCCCGGATTCCACGCTTGCGTTGGGCCGCTCGAGATACGCACAGGACCCTCTCTGCTCGCGGACCTCGATCCACCAGGAGTAACGCTACATCGACGGAAGGTTACGTGCGTTGGAATTCTCTATCTATTCGCCGCTTACTGCGGCAAGTAGTCGCTGCTTCGCACAGGGCGCAGCTCACCCTGGGCCGGCCCATTTTAGTGGTTTCGACTCGCGAGATGAACCGCAAAAAACGATCGCGCTAGGGAGCGAACCTACGACCTCCAGTAGCGGAACACACCGCGCTAGCCACAGCGCCTGGCCCGTGGATCTATTATAATAGCAATGCTAAACTTAAAGAAACTAAAACCGAGGAAAAAACCATCTGTTCCATCTACTATTTTTTCTTTAGTCTTATTCTGTCTTTCTTTTTTCTCGTTTTCTTTGTCTTATTCTGTTTTCTTTTACTTTTTCTTTGTAAGCTTTTCAAAAAGTTCAAATATGGTTCAGAATTTTCAAAAATGTTCTTTTTGTCAAAAATTGTTCATATTTCAGAAATAGTGTTCACATTTACACAATTTTGTTCACAATTTCGAAAAATGTTCCTGATTTTTTCTTGTTTTCTTTCTTTTTCCTTTTCTTTTTCTCAAAAGAAAATTGAAAAAATTCAAATTTTGTTTGTATTTTCATAAAATTTTCAGTTATCAAATTTTTTTCTCCAATTCAAAATTTGTTCCCGTTACACAAAAAGTTCAATAACTTTCGAAATGCAGAAAATATACCGGATTTCATAAAATGTTTGCGCTTCCAAATTTGTTTGGGATTTTTTGAAATTGTTCTCTATTTCAAAATTTGTTCTCTAGATTCAAAAAAATGATTGTGCTTTAAAAAATTGTTCACGCTTCCAAATTTGTTCAGGATTTTTCAAAATTGTTCTCTATTTCAAAATTTGTCCTCGAGATTTAAAAAATGTTCGTGCTTTCAAAAATTGCTTGCGCTTCCAAATTTGTTTAGGAGTTTTCAAAATTTGTTCTCAAGATTGAAAAAATGTTCGTGCTTTAAAAATTGTTCGCGCTTCCAAATTTGTTCTCCATTTCCAAATTTGTTCCAAAGACTCAAAAAATGTTTGTGCTTCCAAATTTGTTCTCCGTTTCAAAATTGGTTCTCAAGATCCAGAAAATGTTTGTGCTTTAAAGAAATGTCACAAATTCTAAAAATGTTTGGGAAATTCAAAAGTTGTTTGTGTTTCCAAATT